AAACCCGGCAAATCGCGATCCCCTGCGTGCTGTACGTTTTAAGAACTCAGAATTCCGTTGTTGGTGCCATTCATCCAATCCAGCCTCCCGCAAACACTTCGTGATAGCCAAAAACAAATGCTCGGTCACTATTCAGAGAGCTAAAGAACGCTTCATTTGTCACAAAGCTGCGCGCTTGGCTTCTGCCACCGGTAACCGAAAACATTCTGGTCCCTCGGTAAAGCGGTTTCACGTAATTTCTGCCCTTCCAACTTTCCTCCCATTTGCAATTCCTATGGTACTCTTGTTTGTGATCACCACGAAAAAGCAGGTCTTCGCTTCTCGGTTTGTCTCCAACTCCACCTTATGTGCCGCCTCTACTGTTCAACCCTCCTCCTACACATCTAATCACTCCTTTCTACCAATCATAATGACCAGAAAGGTCCGCCAAAATTTTCGCGGTTTGGATGTTTGTGAACCACCCGATCCGGAGGGTATTCCTCCTGTCATCTTAAAAATATGTGCCCCGGAGTTAGCCCGTGTTCTACGCCATCTTTTTTGTTATTCACTCAAACTTAAATCTTTCCCTCTCCATGGAAAAGTGCCATTATTCTTTTAACCCCAAAGTGCAGCGACCCTTCCGGCCCCAACAACTACCGTCCCATTAATCTTACAGCTGTAATCTCGAAAGTGTTTTAAACCATTATCTCCGAACAACTGCGTACGTTTCTCGAACGCGAAGGTTTGTTAAATGACCGTCAGTATGGATTTCGCCCTCGTCGATCTACGGGTAACTTACCGACGCTCATATCACATTCCTGGTCGGCTGGACTCGATAACCGCGGGGAAACTCACATGGTCTCACTCGACATTTCAAAAGCCTTCGACCGCGTTTGGCATGAAGGTCTGCTGTCGAAATTACCGGCGTTCGGATTCCACCCGTCTCTGGCATCGTGGCTGTGTTGTTTCCTCAGCAAGCGAACCATCTCCGTCCGAGTAGATGGGGTCGTATCTCGGCCATTTCCTGTAAACGCCGGTGTTCCCCAAGGTTCCATACTTTCGCCCACTCTCTTCCTCTTTTTTATCAACATTCTTTTATCCCAAACATGTAATCCTATCCACTGCTTTGCCGATGATGCCACTCTCCATTGTTCTCT